CATCACCCCTACCCTTATTCCCCATCATCACCCCTACCCTTATTCCCCATTTCATCACCCCTACCTTATTCATCATCCCCCTATTCCCCATCACACCCCTTTACCCTTTTTTCCCCACTCATCACCCCTACCCTTATTCCCCCATCAAATCACCCCTAACCTTATTCCCCATCATCACCCCTACCCTTATTCCCCAATCCATTCACCCCTACCCTTATTCCCCATCATCACCCCTCACCCTTATTCCCCATCAAATTACACCCCCCATCAATCAACCCCTACCTATTCCCCCCATCATCCCCTACCCTTTTCCCCATCTCAAACCCCTTACCCTTATTCCCCATCATCCCCCTATCACCTTATTCCCCATCATTCACTACCCTATCCCCCCACCATCATCCCCTACCCCCTTATTCCCCATCATCAACCCCTACCCCCATTCCCTCCCCCCATTATTCATCACCCCTACCCTTATTTCCCCATCATCACCCCCTACCCTTATTCCCCAATCATCAACCCCTACCCTTATTCCCATCATCCCATTATTCATCACCCCTAACCTTATTCCCATCATCACCCCTACCCTTATCCCCCATCATCACCCCTACCCTTATTCCCCATCATCACCCCTACCCTTATTCCCCATCATCACCCCTACCTTATTCCCATCATCACCCCTAACCCTCCCCACCATCACCCCTACCCCTTATTCCCCATCATCACCCCTACCCTTATTCCCCCACATCACCCCTACCCTTATTCCCCATCATCACCCTACCCCTTTACCCATCATCACCCCTACCCTTATCCCCACCACACCCCTACCCCTTATTCCCATCATCACCTACCCTTATCCCCCTATATCCACCCCTACCCTTATTCCCCCCATCATCACCCCTTATTCCCCTTACCCCTTATTATTCCCCATCATCACACCACATCCCTCTGCAGCACAAACACTCTCCTTACCAAATGTACTTGGTGTTGGAAGCCTCGTTGTGCCGCTGGACGAAGAAAGAGATGCCCTCGAACACCCACGTGACCCCCATCAGGACGAAGAGCTTCAGGTAGAGCGTGAACCTGCGGGGGAGGCTTGGCTGAGTGGCTCGTTTGCTTTTTGTACTTGCCTACAGCTTGAATAATACGTATGTGTATGTGTATGTGTATGTATATGTATAAATATGTATGTGTATGTATGTATGCATGTGTGTGTATGTATGTATGTGTATGTGTATGTATATGTATATATATGCATGTGTATGTATGTATGCATGTATGTATGTATGTATACATATATATATATATATACATATATATACATACTGTAGATGGATTGATAGACATACAGGCATATAAATAGAAAGGTAAATAAATACATAAACAGATATACAGATAAATAGACAATATATACGCATTATACACACACGCACGCGCTGCGCGCGTGTTCACACTCATACGCATACACATACATACAAAATATACACACAGATTTACATTATATATATATATATATATATATATATATATATACAATATATATATACATATATATAATATATATATATTATATATATATATATATATATATGTATATATATATATATATATAATATATATATAGAGAGAGAGAGAGAGAGAGAGAGAGAGAGAGAGAGAAGAGAGAGAGAGAGAGAGAGAGAGAGTGAGTGAGTGAGTGAGTGAGTGAGTGAGTGAGTGAGTGAAGTGAGAGAGATCCCTCCAGTGAGTGAATGAGCTTCAGGCAGATAAAGAGACGAAGCCCTCGTCGAGATGGGGAGGGCGTCTTGTGCGCAGAGAGCGATCTTCAAGATATATAAATTATAGACTTAAAAAAAAAGTGAAGAAGTCCGCGTCCAAAAGCTGTTCTCACACCATTATAATATATATATATATATATATATATATATATATATATATATATATATATATATATATAAATGTGTGATAAAACATTGTGGCATGAATGCTCTCTATTATTCATTGCATTTCTAAGCAAACCCGATTTTCAATATACCCGCTGCAATTACCCTAACAAAAATACATTACATATATATATATATATATATATATATATAATATATATATATATATATATATATATATATATATATATATATGATTAAAATGCACAACGACCATCTTCTCGCAACCCACACCCCCACCCTCCCTACCCCTCCTCCGTACACCCTCCCCTACCCCCTACCCCCCGACCCAAAACTACAAATAACACCAATATTCCTTGTTTTTCTTTATTTCTTTCTTTTTTTCTTTCCCGTCATTTTTTCCCTCAATGTATCATCCCCGAGAAAAGGAGATTCTGTAGGAAAAAAGCCGTTTATCGAGCGAAAAGTGACGAAATGAACGGAAGGTAGCAACAGAAATGTTCAAAGAAGGGTGTGGAAGGGTGCGCAGTTCGTGGCCGGTTAAGGGTACGAGGGAGAGGAGAGAGGAGAAAGGAGAAGAGGAGAGGAGAAGGAGAAGCAGGAAGAGGAGTGGAGAGAAAGTGAGGAAGAAGGAAGAGGAGAGAGAGGGAAGAGAAGAGAGAAGAGGAGAGGGAGAAGAGAGAAGAGGAGAGGAGCGAGAGGAGGAGAGGGAGAAAGGAAGAGGGAGAGGGAGTGGAAGAGGAAAGTGAGAAAGAGGAGAAAGGAGAGAGAGAGAGGGAGAGGTGAGAAGAGAGAAAAGGGAGAGGGAGATAGAGTAGAAGAGGGAGACGGAGAGGGACAGGGAGAAGGAGAGGAAGAGGAGGAGGGAGAACGAGAAGGAGTGGAAGTGGAAGAGGGAAAGGGAGACGAAGAAGGAGAAGGGAAGGGAGAGGGAGATGTAGAAGGGAGGAAGAGGACAAGGAGTGGAAGAGGAAGGAAAACAGGGAGAGGGAAGAGGGAAGAAGAAAGAGGAAGAGGAGATAAATGAGAGAGGGGGATGGGAAGCGAGTGATAAACATAGGGGAAAGGGGAAGAAGACTTTATATTTTCTAAAAAGGTAAAGAATAGATAAACGAAGTGGGGGGGAGAAGGACATAGGATAAACAAAGGATACAAAGGAAGGGATGAAGAGGAGAAATGGAGAGGAAGAGATCAGAAGAAACAAAAAGAAGAAAAAATAACACAAAGAAAAGGTGAGGGAAGATACACATCACGTGACTAGGATCGTGAGTCAAGGTACGTTAAGAAGAAAAAAAAATGAAAAAGAAAGAAAAAAGAACGTACGAGGTGGATAGAAAAGTAAGAAAGAAATTAGGAATAACGTGAGAGGTGGACAAGGAAACGAAAAAAAGAAGAAGGGACGTAAAAACTGGATAAAGCAAAGAGAAAAGAAAGACAAGAAAATGAAGTGAAGAAGATAAACCAAGATACGGAGAACGACAAGGTCACACACCAATAAAAAAATACACGAAAAATAAAGAAACGAACAAGAGAGAGACGACAAGAAGAGAGAGAGAGACAGAAGAGGAGGGGAGGAAGAGAGAAAAAAAACACAAAAATACACGAAGAATAAAGAAACGAACAAGGAGAGACGACAAGGAGGAGGGGGAGGGAAGTGAGAGAGAAAACAAAAACACAAAATGCACGAAAAATAAAGAAAACGAACTAAATAAATTAAAAAAATAAAGAAAAATAAAGAAAAAAGAGGAGAGACAGAAGGGGGGAGGAAAGAGAGAGGAGAGGAAGGCAAGGACAGACCATACAGGTGAGGAAGAGAGGATGGCACACTGCTGTTGCTGGGTGAGTGGGAGTCCGCGGGTGAGGCTGCGAGGCACGCCTGGGAGCGCCGTCTCTCTCTCTCTCTCTCTCTCTCTCTCTCTCTCTCTCTCTCTCTCTCTCTCTCTCTCTCTCTCTCTCTCTCTCTCTCTCTCTCTCTCTCTCTCTCTTTCTTTTTCTTTTCTTTTTCTTTTTCTCTTTCTCTTTCTCTTTCTCTTTTCTCTTCTCTTTCTCTTTCTCTTTCTCTTTCTCTTTCTCTTTTTCTCTCTCTTCTCATGCACTCTCGGCTCGGGTGTCTCTTACTCTCGTGTTGGCTGTGTTGGTTTATTTTCTTTTTATTCGTGTGTTTGGTCTTTATTTTTTTATTTATTTATTTTTTATGCTTCGTTTTTCGGCTTTTAGTTTCTCTCTCTCTCTCTCTCTCTCTCTCTTCTTCTTCTCTCTCTCTCTCTCTCTCTCTCTCTCTCTCTCTCTCTCTCTCTCTCTCACACACACACACACACACACACACAGCACACACACACACACACACAACACACACACACACACACACACACACACACACACACACACACACACACACACACACACACACGCACTTCATTTCCCTCTCGCGAGCATGTAACCCTCTCCCTCAACACCCATCTGCATCAAAGAAAACGAGAAACGCGTGTATGTGGTGCTTGTCACCCGAAAAAAATTTGGCCCATCTGTCCTCTTGATTACATGTCGTTCCCAGATCTCCATTAACATGACGAGAGGGAACCAGGTAGAAGGTGTTCGGAGAGGGGAGTGAGAGGGGAAGGGAGGGGAAGAGAGGGAGTGAGGGGTAGGGAAGGGAGAGGGAAGGCAGAGGGAGACAGGGGAGGGAACGGGAAGAGGGTGGAAAGGAGGGTAGGGAAGGAGGGGAAACTTGGTGAGGGGGAGGAGAAGCAGAGGACGAGAAAAAGGGGAGAAGGAGAGAGGGCGGGAAGGAGGGAGGGACTAGAGAGAGAATGGAAGGAGAATGGAGAGAGGAAGGGATAGGAGAGGGAGAGAGGAAGGGAATGGAGAGGGAGAAGGGGAGAGGAGGAAAGGAGGGAGGGACTAGTGAGAGAGGAAGGGAAGGGAGAGGAGAGAGGAGGGAAGGGAGAGGGACAGAGGAAGGGAAGGGAGGGAGGAAGGGGAAAAGGAGAGAGGAGGAAGGAGAGGGACTAGTGAGAGAGAAGGGAGGAGGGAGGAGAGAGGAAGGGAATGGGAGAGGGAAAAGACGGAGAGGGAGGGAAGGAGGGAGGGACTAAGTGAGAGAGGAAGGAGGAGGGAGGAGAGGAGGAGGAGAGAAGGAGGGAGCGACTGAGTGCCGCAGCATGAAATGATGGAGAAGGACTGGTTGTGCACACCCCCACACGTCTGCACATACACATGTACCACACCTGCATATTAACCAGGATCGCAGAGAGAGAGTAGTACAGGGGACGATAAACAAAGAGAATACGAAATAAAAGAGATATACAGACCTAGAAACAGAAACACAAAGAAAAAATCTGAAGAAAAACAAGAAGAAAAAAGAGAAACCAAAACACCAAAGACAAACAGAATACACTAATAAATACACCAATACACCAAAATAACTACTTCAAAACAACGAAACACGAGAGAGAGAGAGAGAGCAGCAGTTCCAAACACGGGAGAGAGAGAAACACATCAGAATTCAATCCTAATAACGGATCGACAGCGAGAAACACTTCCCCAAAAACTGCCTGACATTGACTTTGTAAACCTCCTTCCTTGCCGGCTGACCCTGACTTCCCCCCCCCCCCCCTCCTTGACAGAGTAGCAAGAAAGGGGGAGAGAGAGACGCGAGGAGGTGAGAAGGCGAACAGCGGGTCATAAATCGGGGTGTTGTTGCGATGGTGATCCGACGGTTAAGGGAATGGACCTTATGGTTTGCTGTTTGTGTTTTAGGAAAGTCATGCGTGAGTGGGGAACATGGCAGATATGACTGACAGGAGGGGAATCTGAAGATAAGATTGATAATGAGTATAAAAGATAATTTGTAATCTTGTTGCTATAACTACAACTATTGCTAGTATAACTAGTACTGTACTACTGTTGTCCCTGCTACTATTCTACTATTACTACGAAACATTGCTAGTGCGTGCTACTGCTACTACTACTAATAACAATAATAATTATTATTATCATTATTGTTATATTATCATCATTATCATTACTACTGTTACTATCCATATAACAACAACAGCAATAATAACAATAATACTGAATAACAAAAATTACGGTAATAATAAACATAATAATAGCAATAATAATGACACTAACAAAAAAAAAACTATAACGAAAAAAATTCGAATACCAAGGTAAAAGAAAAAGACAAGAAATACAAAACAAACAAAATATCAAAAACACCACACATAAAAAACAAGAAAAACACAGACAACAGCAATGAAGAAGAAGGATATTCAGCTAAAAATAAAACATCTTTACAGGTGCAGATTATTTATTATTCATTCTGGTGATGAGTGAAAATGCATTTGGAATTATAATAGATTCTGGAACGGGATTCTCTCTCTCTCTCTCTCTCTCTCTCTCCTCTCTTCTCTCTCTCTCTCTCTCTCTCTCTCTCTCTCTCTCTCTCTCTCTCTCTCCTCTCTCTCTCTCTCTCTCTCTCTCACTCTCTCTCCTCTCTCACACACACAACACACACACACACACAACCCACACACACACACACACACACAACACACACACACACACACACAACACACACACACACACAAAAAAAAAAAACAATACCACAAAACTCCCCAAAAACACAAGAAAATAACCTAAACAAAAAAAACAAACAGCTACAAAAAAAAAAGCAAGAAGAAAAAAAAATACTCACTGGAAAACACGAGCTTCGAGTCACACACACACAAAACAAATACACCACACACATACACACACACACACACACACACACACACACACACACACACACACACACACACACACACACACACCACACACCACACAAC